AATTATCTGGCATATTTAAGGAACAAGCGAGTGGCAAAATTAGTTGGTATTCATAGCGCAGCACCAAATGAGGATGATCAAGAAAAAGTTAGTTGGGACGCGGCGAGCGATTATAAATATTTTCCTGTATAAAGTAACCAATTGTGAGAGACTATTAACACAAGCTATATATTTCGTGGTGAAATGAAATAGTCTTAACGTAGATATTTAGAAAACGCGAGAACACTTAAGCAGTGTTTGTGTGAGTCGGATGTCTAAATATTCACATTTACTAATACTACATGTCCTTGAAAAAGTTGTTCTTTTCATTCTGTGATGCGTAAAACCAATGGTATAAAGTACCATGAAAACCTAAATTTCATTGAATCTAAATTGAAAGTTAGCAAGTGAGTAAAATTACAAAAAATGCTTTTTAAGGAGTTAAGACTTCTTGATATAGTTTTTTTACCATTTGAATCAAAAAACAGATATGGAAATTTGCAAGTGCTGCCGGGAAGGCATGCAACGCCTTGCCCAGCACGAGGTGCTTATACAAATATATATGGAAGTAAAGTGCATTGGCAAAGTAAAATTTGGAACTCAGTCTTAATTAGGTGGTAGGCAAGTTGATTGTTCTGGAGATATCTCTCCGTCATCCTCTGATGTTTTGGCCGCGTGGCAAAGTTTTTTTTTTCCAATTGCAAAACTACGGGTTCCACTTAAAATGTTTGTCGATGACAGGTTTTCACCACAAAGTAAACACATTTTAGCAAAAAGTTCCCAATCGCAACATCCAAGATTCCACCGGCTTTTACACATGACTTTATTCTAATTGAGTTTTAAAAGGGGTCAGGAGGCTTTTTAGTAAGTCAGTCGACCGGGAATCCTAAGGAACTTAAGCAGCGCCTTTGCGTGCGTTCTTGACCACTGTGATTTTATGATAAAAGTTGCCTGCAAGGCCGTTATGACCTCCATTGGAGCAATTATCATAAACCGAGGTATCCAATAAGAAAAAGGAGTTTCTTTGTAGCTATACCAAATTCATATCAGGTGAGTGAAATATAGAAATATAGAATGTCCGCCGCTGTATTCGACTCGCGCCACCGATCTATTGTTTCAATTCCGGCCGTCGAGCACAATGCCTGCAAAACACATTATAATCATCGTATCATTTACAAGAGGATAATTCTTTGTTCACTTTACTGCTTTTTCTTTCTTTGCTCTTTTGAACTTTTTAATGAAGATCCTGGAGTATGGAGTGAGATATTAGTGAGTGTCGCAACAAAACCTGAACCAAAACAAAGAATCAATTACCAACCCAGAGTGTTTTACACGTGGACACCGTGAAGCTGTCCGATTTGGTGACGCGATAGATTTACACGTGACTTCTATCCAATTTCTATATATTGCCTTAGATAAATTATCTGAAAATACTCAAGATCATTTCTTTTGATGTATCCTGTTTTGTTTTCAAAATTTTCGTGGGCTGATCTTTAACAACTGAAGAAAACCGCTGGTTAGAGTCGATTTTATCACAGTTAACAATAACTTATTTCCAGATCTTTATCAGTTCTCTGAAGCATAAGGAGGAATGTTGATAGAAACACGGAGGTGTTTGGTGAGTTTTTCATTTGTGTGTTAAAATTACAATAAGAATTGATATCCATGTCAAAAAATATTCCAAATTAGCCTCAAATTTTCCTCATGTTATAACATAGGCATGTCAATCTAGCCTTATCCGGGGGGGGAGGCAGGCAGGCGGGAACTGACTTCATTGCCCATGAGAGCGTTCTTCTTTATTCAGAGGGTCGTCGTTTTGAATAAATTCGCTCATATGAGTACCTGTTTCACATTCCTAGCTACCACCGGTTCTTAAGTAAACTAGGATTGCAATATCTTAGCCTTTCATGCATTCTAATGACACTTTCCATTTTTTTTCTCAGTTCCTTGCCATTATCTTCACAATCCTGTTGCTTATAGAAATAGCCATGCAGTTGGAATTAACTCCCTTGATACCGGTTTTTAAAAGGTCTCTACAGGGTAAGACCATTGGGAATCATATGACCATATATGAATTATGAATTACTTTAAGGACCAATCACTTAGAAGTTGTTTCTGAAACATCCAGCCCTGACATCGTAAAAATAGTTTTTGGTTAGTTATCGTGATAAATAACACTTTCAGAGGAGAAATTTCATCGTTTGTCTCACGATGTGGTCATTTTGAGTGAGGATCGTGACGCTTCGATTGCATACTGCTAATCTTCTTCAGCCGATGAGGTCTAATGAGTACGCGTCGCCCATAAGCTGTCGTGCTCGGTTGTGTTCCGCAAAGATATTTGCCTAAAATTACAATCTTTCGCTTAGCTCTTGAATTTTCTAAGAGTGTCTTAAAATATACACTTTGCAATGCTGCTCTAAATTACTCTAGAGCTATATTTTCGAAATCGGCGTGGACGCTGACGTTTGCATACTTAGGCTGTGAGTATTCTTCTTAAAGGTTACTTCTTTGTTTAATGATCGAAAAATTCTTTTTCTTTCAGCCTGCTAATTGCAACAGATCTGAAGCTCGTTTCTTTATCTTTTTAAGGTTATTTTCAAAAACCGCTAAATTGTGTCGCACGTTGTTCACTGATATGATGCTGTCTTTATGGCCATTTTAAACCGTTTAAAAAAGCAAAACTCGGGTTAAATGTATTCTCATTTCAACCAATTCATTTCATCGATTTTTGCTGCATTTCAAGAATAAAACATAAATTTGCATAATTTACACTGCTTCGCATGACGCGTACATGTCGAAAGAATTATTCACTGGCGGAGGAGAATTTAATTACCAGAGCTGAAACTCTCAGGGTGGAAAGTATAGCTGTGGACGTTGACGGAAAATTGTTTCTGTAATCAAATGAAGGTACCAGAGGCTGTTTTTAGAAGCTGAATTACCTCTGTTTCGGTAGACCGCAATGGTGACTGTTAAGGAAGGAAAATTTGTAGAAAATACCAAGAGAGTTTTCGAACGAAGGATGGCATATTACTTGGGCACAGTCTTGTTTTCGTTGGATAGTTTTTACGTTTCTGGTAACCGTCGAAAGAAATACAAAAATTTGCATATTTAACTAAGCTAAAATCGAATTTCAAACTGTTGAAAACTCTCCCGTAAAACTAGTCGATGGAACCTTTAACTGTTTTCCTTAAAGACAATCATGCAAGGGAATTTTATGGCAAAATAAAGTAAAAATCGTTTCAGCCATGACGTGTAAAACTTTGGCCCGCCCTATCCCACAACACTCTTGTTAAAAACAAGAAGGTACTTAATGTGATTGCATTCTTATTGATTAAAACTTGGTTTTAGACGGAGTGAGTGATACTACCTACCAAAATCATACTAATGAGATACATTGTTCATCAAACTTCTTTTTCAGAAAATTCAAGCCGTCAGAATTTTCATATCAAAGGTCCCTCTGTAAAAGATACCCCTTTTGTTAATATAACAACAGCATGCAGGCCTCACAAGTAAGGATACCAGCATATCTAATATATTATTGCTTACTGTTAAGATCAGAAAAGTCTGAATATCTCTTGAGATACGTCCGGAACGTTTCTTGTGTCATGACCACTAACGTAAGGGATGGCAGGTCACAAGTTGCAGGTCAAGGGTCATGGGTCATACAGAACAAGTCACAGGTCAAGGGTAAAAGGTGATGGGAGATACCAGGGAAATACCACATAGATGTCTTACTCCTGATCTGCTTGCTTTCCTTGACTTGCTCATCATATTCCTGGCATTCACGGTCTTCTGAGTTTCGCAGTAATAGCGAGTAAAAATGTTAAATTAACATTTGATTGATAACTCTTTCTTGATTGTTTTTTATTCCAGTTACCATTTGTTTCCTAGACGTTTCTATGCGTATAACAACCACTTGTTTCTTCCCAGGAAAAGAATAGTATTAATTAATTAACCTGAAATATTCACTGAAAATAGCTTTTAATTACACACTCTCACCTCGGGATTTATTCTTTTGAAGGCCAGACAAAGTTGGGCAGGAACAAATTCTTAAATTTTATGGACCCCCAGGACGGCTGAAGGAACAAAAGTGTAACGATAAACGTTACCCAGATATCTGTTCATACCAGTTAACTAAGATAATGGAACATAACGTGTCTTGTGATGTGAAGGTGTGTGGGTCTTCAAAGATTAAAATGGCTTCAGTGAATCCACAAATGGGGAAAGCTGTTGATGACTGGGAAACAATACCGAAGGAAAAACTTACTTATAAAGTACAGGAAGCAGTAAGAACAAACCTGGAAAATGGATTTAATTTCTTTTTTCTTAAATGTGGAAGGATTTATCAAGCCTTTAGTATTCCTCCTGTCTTCCAGAAAAATGAAAATGATGAAAACAGAAGTGCTATCAATATAAATATTATTGTGTTGGACTCTATCTCAAGGCCACACTTCTATCGAACCATGCCAAAATCTATAGAGGCTTTGCGAAAGATAAAGGAAGATTCTACAATCAAGGCGACCTCCTTGGACTTTGAACTTTTTCAGAGCATTGGTCAACAGACTTTTGAAAACTTAAGGCCATTCTTCAGTGGTGTTCTGAAAGGTGATTTGACAAATTTCTTCGCTATTGTTAATTGATTTGTGATTGCAATGAGCTTTTTTAAGTGATCAGGCTTCGAGTGCTAGCCACAAGAAAAAAGGGATACAGTAGTGGGATAAAAGAAATTCGTCAAAATCGGCAGTAGCTGTTAAAATTAGAATGTTGATCTAGAATGGGACTGGTTGTGATCATGAAGTCTGATAATCTGAGTGAAAGTTAGAAGTCTTGAAAAGAACTGTTGTTGGTTTTAGTAGTTTTAGTTGGTTGTCATGTCAACAACCTAAGTAAAGGTCATCATCAATGTCAACTGACTTCGTGATGATGTCTGCTCAGGTTTGTTAAATGTTTTGCAGTAGTTCTTTTCAGGACCACTGTCACCCAGAATGATCACCAGCTACCCCTAAGTGAAACCATTTGTTGTTGATACTAGTAGCAAATTAGACACAGGTAAAGATGATGTCTCTAAAGAAACTTATACTGATTAGTATTACTTTGTGTAGTATATTTTGTTTCAAACCTGATTGAAGCCGATATAGTTACAATGGGTGAGATTGC